TCTGTTGTGGGGAGGGGAAGGAGTTTGTAAGCCACTCTGAGTGAAGGGTGGGGTATACATCCAATCTCCTCCACCTCCTCCTCCTCTCCTCTCTCCTATACCTTGTGGCTAATAGCCACTGATGGACCTCTGCACCCCACATTACTATAAAGACCAGTGCGGCTTGTATCTTGTTGTGGCCCATCAGAGGTGGTGAACTGGACGTTGTAAGCCACCGTTTCGTATACCAGTACACCTTTACTATTTATATTTCTTAAAGCATTTATTGTATCTCCAAAGGGGATCCCTTAGCACCCGCTCTCACTCCTCCATGGCCCTACTTTGGCCATTACTTAGATTTTGTTGTAGATCCAAGGTCAAGTCCAGTAGTATTTTATTAGAGACCAACAAGATTTCCAGGGTATAAGCTTTCAAGAGTCAAATCTCCCTTGGCCAGACAGCTAATGGAAATCTGTGATCTCTATCCTATCTAGCTCAGCCCTCGGAAACTGTCAATCCTAAACCGGTTGTTGTTTTACCACCTCAATAAGAACTGGTCCTGCAGTCTACCCTTCGGATTAAGGGAGCGAACAGCTTAACCGCCCTTGCTGCAAACGGGAGGCTGGCCTTATTATTTCCAAGCAATTGGGCAAAGAGTCGCAGGGCAGTTGTCCAACCAGGAATTAAAACCGATTGGGGCCCCGGTCACACGGAGAATTTACCGCGCGAAAGGCACGAATGCTGGGCGGATTTTCGGGGCGCGATCACACCGCAACATCTGGCAAGCATAGCGCACCCATGGCCAACCCGTGGTGTGCTGCCAAAGACGTGCAGTTAAAAAGTACCTGTACAGATCTACTAGCAAATGGTTTGCCACGGGCTGCAGACGGACTAATTCGGTGTGATTGCGCCGGCGCACGCCTATTCCCTCCGGCCGTCCCCTTTGCAGTACACGCGCCGAGGGACGAAATCCCGGTGCGTCGCCGCCATGTCTGATCGCATAATGGCGGATCAGAATGCGACTGCGCAAATAGCCACGCCTCCCCCCCCCACGTTTTCCGGCATGTGTGGCCAGGGCCTGGGTAACCGTAACAAGGACACTTTGAGACCGAGATCCAAGCTCAGTAGCGCCAGAACAAGGACTCTTGGGGACCTAGATCCAGGTGCGAAGCCGTCTGAAGTGACAGAACACTTTCACTATGAAGAAAGGTTAAAGATCTTAGGGCTCTTTAGCTTGGAGAAATGATGACTGAAGGGTAACATGATTGAGGGACTGAGGTTTATAAGATTATGCATGGGAAAGAGCAGGTAGAGAAAGGGGTACTTTTCTCCCTTTCTCACAATACAAGAACTCTGTGGGCACTCCATGAAATTGCTGAGCGGTCGGGTTAGAACTAGTGTTCCCTCTAAGCTGAGTTAGTGTGAGCTAGCTCACAGTTTTTTAGCCTCCAGCTCACATGTTTTTGTCTTAGCCCAGGAAGGAGGGCTCCAGAGCCAACTAATTGATGCAGCAGCCAAATCACTTGCTCACAACTTTAATGCCAGTAGCTCACAAAGTAAGATTTTTGCTCACAAGACTCCATGGCTTAGAGGGAACATTGGTTAGAACGGATAAAAGGAAGTCCTTCTTCACCCAAAGAGTGATGAACACTTGGAATTCACTGCCACAGGAAGTGGTGGCGGCTACAAGCATGGACGGCTTCAAGAGGGAATTAGATAAGCATATGAAGCAGAGGTCCATCAGTGGCTATTAGCCACAAGGTATAGATGGCTCTGGGGCAAGTGATGCTCTGTATTCTTGGTGCTTGGGGGGGGGGCAACAGTGGGAGGGCTTCTAGTGTCCTGGCCCCACTGATGGACCTCCTGATGGCACCAGGTATTTCTGGCCACTGTGTGATACAGAGTGTTGGACTGGATGGGCCTTTGGTCTGATCCAACATTGGCATCTCTTGTGTTCTTATGTTAACAAAGTTTGAGTCCAGTGGCACCTTTAAGACCATTCTGGGTACGAGCTTTCGTGTGACTCCCAAGTAGAACCCAGACTTTGTTCTAATTTGAAACCTAGTTACAAGTAGAGTTGCTAACTGTAGGTTGGGAAACGCCTGTAGATTTGAGGGGTGCAGTCTGGGGAGGGCAGGGTTTGGGGTGCGGAGGGACCCGAAAGGAGGAATTTTCGCCTGGGCCTCTTATGTATCACTAAGTAATTGTTGTTGTAGGGGTGCCATCCTCCAGGTGGGGGCTGGAGATCTCCCAGAATTGTAACTGATCTCCAGCCTGCAGTGATCAGTTAACCTGGAGAAAATGGCTGCTTTGGAGGGGGGGCTCCATAACATTACACCCCTAAGCTCCACCCCCAAATCTCCAGGAGTTTCACAACCAAGAGTTGATAACCTTATTGTTTTGCCTGTTTTAAGATTTGGTACACCTGGTGTGGATCTAATTGTACGCAGATGCTTGATACTGTTGGATGTTCAGAGTAATGCAGCGTGAATAACATAGGACAGCACTTGTATATTAGCTTTAAATGATAACTTTCCTTTCTAATGAAGGAAAGGGCTTTCTGGGAGATTAAAGAAAACAAACACAGGATAAACATCCCGACTAGCTGCTCTAACCTGCATCTTTATAGTTTGAGAAAGAACTAGAGAAGAACACAGAGCAATAAAACTGAAACCCAGTGCTAAGAAGAAGAGGAGGAGGAGGAGATTGGATTTATACCCCGCCCTTCACTCGGAGTCTCAGAGCAGCTTACAATCTCCTTCCCTTCCTCTCCCCACAAGAGACACCCTGTGAGGTAGGTGGGGCTGAGAGAGCTCTCTCGAGAACTGCCCTTGAGAGGACAGCTCTGAGAGAACTTGTGACTGGCCCAAGGTCACACCAGCAGCTGCATGTGGAGGGAGTGGGGAATCGAACCCGGTTCCCCCAGATTAGAGTTCACGCTCCTAACCACTACACCAAACTGGTATAAGCTTTCAAGAGTCAAAGCTCCGTTGGTCAGATACTCTTGAAAGCTTATATCCCGAAAGCTTTGTTGGTCTCTAAGGGGCTGCTGGAGTCTCCTACCTCAGACCAATCCAGCAACCTTCCGGATACGAAGGACATGTCAAGGTCCATTTCTTCGTTTCTGTCGATCAGTTGGGAAAACCGTCATTTTGCAGTTCTCCTAGAGTGGCCCTGAAAAACAGGCGTCTTACGGTGCCAAACACAGTCGGCCAGCTACGTAGCGGGGCCTCCCCCGGACTCAACTAAAGCTCTTCTTTGTGTGCAGGCCCTTATCACACAACCAAAAGTTTACCCTCCTGTAAGGTAAAGGTAAAGGTTTCCCTTGCTCGAAAGCCAGTCGAATCCGACTCTAGGGTTGCGGTGCTCACCTCCAGCGCTGTCCGAAGACGTTTCCGTGGTCATGTGGCCGGCATGACTAAACACCAAGGCGCATGGAACGCTGTTCCCTTCCCACCGAAGTGGTACCTATTTATCTACTTGCAATTTCTTGCTTTCGAACTGCTAGGTGGGCAGGAGCTGGAACTAGAGACGGGAGCTCACTCTGTCATGCGGCACACTCGGGTCTCGAACTGCTGAACTCTCGACCTTCCACAGCCTGCAGTTCAGTGGCTTAACCACTTGAGCCACCGCTAGCTCCTTACCCTCCTGTGGTCAGCCACAAATAGCAGTTGGGTCTGCTATTTGGCCTCCTGGCTCCTCTGACTTCGATAGGCCTCTCGTTAGGGCAGGGGTCCCTGGCCTTTTTGAGCCTGTGGGCACCTCCGAAATTCTGCCACGGGTTGGTGGTCGCAGCCACGAGAAGGTTACTGCAGGACCCAGGGCCAACCACGAGATGTCAGGGAGCGATTTCTACGCAGCCCTCTTGGAGTACTCAACATTCCAGGCATAATGTCTGCTTAGCAACCGGAGACCATTTAAAATAAAGACGTTCTTTACATTTTTTTCCCCCTGGCACGTGCACAGCTTGTCTTCAGTCTCGCGGTGAAGTCTCGCAGTGACTGCCAAAGCAATGGTTTTTTTTTTAAGGAGTGCCAATCAAATCTCCAATGGCCAATCAGAAGCCCTGCTGGGGAAAAGGTCCCATCAGGCTCCACCTACTTCCAAAAAAACCCTTGACAGGTACCAGGAAAGTTGTCAGTAGGTGTCCTGGCGCCCGGGGGCACCACGTTGGGGACCCCCGTGTCAGGGCATACCGGCTCCCTGCTTACATCGGCGCGGCCTTCTGCCATACCGGCTCAGCCGCCTTCGGGCCTTACCTTTCTCCGGCACAGACACGACACGGCCTTGTCCGGGCTGGCCCCCACCACGTGCTGCCGGGCCAGCACCACGGCGCAGACGAAGCCGTCGCGGGCGCTGACGAAGCGCTGCTCCAGGTAGAAGGCCCGCGCGTCCCAGCCCAGCAGGCGGGTGTGGACCACGAAGCGCTCCAGGAAGCGCAGGGAGCGCCGGTAGCGGCAGCAGGAGGCCGCCAGCACGGTGTGGCCCCCCAGGGCCCGCACGGCCCGGAAGAGCCCGCAGCGGGTCAGGTGCATGACCCGCGCCATGTCGGCCTCCCGGAGGTAGCGGCCGTTGTTCATGTGCAGCAAGCAATCCAGGTCCGAAAGGAGCACCAGGCCGCGGCACTCCTGCTCCTCCAGCAGGTCCCAGACGGTGGGCAGGAAGCACCTGGCGTAGAGCATGGTCAGGGGCATCCTCAGCAGGTACCAGACATCCACCAGGGCAAACAAGGCCACCCCAACCCCTAGAGCCAGGCTCGCCCACTCCATCATCTGCAGCAGCAGCAGCAGCAGCCTGCTTTTGCTTGCAAGTCACGCCGGGCCCTGCAAGGCCCTGCAGCTCTGACGTCAGCTTCCTGGCAGTGGCAAGCTGCAGCCGCTCGGGAGGAGCCACTGTGGCAAGGCGGGGGGGAGGGCAGAGGTCACAGCAGGTGCTCCGTGCCACCCCTTTCTTCCCCTGCCGGTTGGTTTGCCCTGCCTTTCTGGGGCGCCTCTGCCTGGCAACCTGAAGATCCCTGCGGGACAGCGCCCTCTGGTGCCTCGCTGGGTTAAAGCAAGGCTGAAGAGGAATTTTAAAAGACCTGGATCGAAAGGTGGGGGGAGGAAGGGAGGAGCTATCTGTGCTTTCCAGATCCTTCAAACCTGGCCGGGTCGGAGGCTGGTAGTAGCTGCATTCAGACTGCATCCGATCCCGTTGCCTCACCCTTTGCGGAGGAACGAGTGATCCCCCATGGAGTGCAAAAGTTAAAGAAGAGCGAGTCGCTTTGCTTCGTCCCCAAATTATATTACAAGCCTGGTCCTTTGGCGCCATCTGTCCGTCAAATTGGAGAAAGGCAGAGATGGTTGCTTTGGGGGAGTGGCTCTGATAAGGATCACAGAACCGGTTTTTTTTTTACCAAAGGCAACATTTTTAATATATTGTGAGACCAATTCATAGAGTCACAGAATGTTAGAGTTGGAAGGGACCTTGCAGGTCATCTAGTCCAACCCCCTGCACTCTGCAGGAGCATAGTGGAAGGATAGCCCTACAACATGCCTGAAAGATGGTCGTCCAGCCTCCACTTGGAAACGTCCAGCAAAGGGGCACCCACCACCTCCGGAGGCAGTCTGTTCCACTGCTCAACCACTCTTACAATGAGGAAGTTTATCCTGATATTTAGCCAGTAACGACTCCCTTGTCATTTCCACCCGTTAGATCTAGTCTTGCAATCCAGAGCAAGAGAGAGTAGATCTGCTCCATCTTCTACATGACAGCCCTTCAAATACTTGAAGACGGCAATCCTGTCCCCTCTAAGCCTTCTCTTTCCCAGGCTAAACAGGCCCAACTCTTTCAGCCTTTCCTCGTAAGCCTTGGATTCCAACCCTCTCATCATACTGATCCTTTGGCCCACATCATATTACCACCTTGGCCTGGATAGCCCAAGATAGCCTGATCTGGTTACCTCTTGGAAACTAAGCAGGGTTGGTCCTGGTTAGTACTTAGATGGGAGACCACTGAGGAGGCCTGGGGCTATCCAGGTCGTGAAACATCAGCTGGACAGTGTGTGTTACATCACTCCAAGTGGGTATAGGTGTTATGTCCTTGAATAGGATGCTTCTCTCTGTCTTAACCTGGGAGCTGCCCTCTGACCCCGCCTTCTCTCCCTTTGTCCTCTCACGTCTTCACATGGCTTTCCATGGAGATACACGTCTCTCCTGTGGATACAGTGCCCTCATACTCCCACACACGATGCCAGACGAGCTGGGTGTTTGTGATAGGAAAAGTACTCTTTAGATATAGACTTCTCTCTCTCTCCCTTTGACTGCAACCTGAATGTGAACTAGATCTACTTGAATAAATGCAAGCTCACCTTTTTTTTGCAATATACTTCTTGGGAGATTTATTTACTGTACTCAGGATCGCGCTTCTCTGTGTTGGAAATGTATGAGTTGCAAGGTCTCAGGTTCCAGTCATTATAGGGTTAACCTGTTTACCTTTCTATGCTATTGTTTAGACTGGCCTGGAAGGGAAACCTGGCAGACAGCCAATGCTAGCAAAGCCCAGGAAAAGTGGACTGTTTTGTAAACATTGATTGGTTAATCTATTCAGATGATTTCCTTCGAGGGGTCAAGAAGAAGGAGGATTCTCCATTATTACAGTGTTGTAGTGTGGCCATGCTTTTATAGCAGCAAGATGTGACAATGTAGCTCTAGATATGTTTGTTTGTTTGTAGGTTTCCTATGTACCTTTTACCCTTAGAAATAAAGCTTTTTAAACAGAAAGAAATGTCTCCTCTCAAGTGAAGCAAAGATCCATTGCAAACTTCGAGTATTTAAGTATTTTTGACTATTTTTCCCAACATATTCATGGGCAAAACTCTGGTATATTAACCTAGGCCCCAGTCACACGGGAGGATTTGCGAAATGGACGGATTGAGGGCGCATCAAACGGGCGCGATCATACGGCAACATCTGGGAAGCGTAGTGCACCCGTCACCAACCCGTACTGTTGGCCCGAAGAAGCGGATTTAAAAAGTACCAGCAAAAGTGTAGTAGCATCCAGAAAATGTGGGTCACAGGCGAGCGTCGGATCGCGGAAGCGGAGTTAATCCATCACATCCAGCATGCGCATGCATCCCGTCGCACCGGATGTGACCATCTGGCGCCGAGTGCCGCACGTCTGATCGCACCATGCCAGTTCTTCCTGGCTTTTGATGTGCTTCAACATCGCCGTGTGATCGCCGGCTATCGGCGTATGCGCAGCACCCCGGGGAACCATATGATCATGTTATCGTGCATCTTTTTGATCCGGCTCTAAAATGCCTCCCTTCCACTGCGGATTTTCCCGCTCGTGTGACCGGGATCCTAGTATCTCAATAGGAGGTCTCAGGTTCAATCCCCGGCAGCATCTCCAGTTGAGAGGACCAGACAGTAGGTGATGGGAAAGACCTCAGCCTGAGACCCTGGAGAGCTACTGCCGGTCTGAGTAGACCATACTGACCTTGATGGACCAAGGGTCTGATTCAGTAGAAGGCAACTTCATGTGTTCCCCTGTGCAACTGGATTGTACACACGGCTTCTCAGGCACACCAAGGGCATGCTGACTCTCCCGCCCTTGATCCCCAATAATTAAGTCCAAATCTCTCCCGGCATTCAAAGCACCAGCAGGCAGCGAGCAATGTGAGATAGACGTATGCATCCCTACTTTAATGGAAGAGAATCTAGATTTTTTTTCATTTGCAAAGCGACAAGCCCTCCGATCCACCCCTCACGGTCCACTCCTGAGAAAAGTCAAGGCCAAGCTGGTGCCAACCGCCCAGGCCACCTTGGCGTGGCTCATTCCAAAGCCCCTGGCTCCACTGCGGTTGCAGAGATCGGCGTCGCAGCAAGAGATGTTCCTTTTGGCCACGGTGTAGTCCTTGTAGACCCCCTCGCAGGACAACGAGCACTCTTTGGTGATGACGCTGAGAAGGCCGACGGCACCTGCGAAGGAAGCGGATGAAGCTGGTGAGGTCCATGCGAGGGGGACGTGATAGAAGAATGAGAACCCGGCCTGATTGTACAAATCTACATCCATATCAATTCAATTCCGAGCCAGGGCTTAGCAAGCCCGAGAGAGCATCTTCTTTTGTAAGCATCATCCTGATTTACAAGATCTGGCACAGAGACTCTTTTAGTGACTTACTTGCTTAAAAATGTGTATACTATCTGTCCTCTGTGACAGACGGGGTAGGTTCCGCCTCTCCCTAAGAGCAACGAATGAGAGCTGATGGAACATTACGGTGCTTTCACACACACGGAAGGCGGTCTCACACATGCTAAATAATGCAGTTTCAATCTACTTCAGCAACTGCTTGCGAGTGGATTTTGCCATTTCACACAGTAAAATCCAGTAGCAAAGTGGATTGAAAGTGCATTATGGTGTGAAAGTGCTCTAAATATTTCAACCCACTTTCAATGCACTTTGCAACTGGGTTTTACTGTGTGAAACGGCAAAATCCACCGGCAAACGGTCGCTGAAGTGGACTGAAACTGCATTATTCAGCATGTGTGAAAACGCCCTCATGAGAGAGCAGTTCAGAAAGCAGTAGGGGTTTGGCTGCTAGGGTGTGAGAGGGAAAACAGTATCTCTGATTGAGTGAAGCTGAGGAGAAGAGCAGCTTAAAGCTCGCTGACTAAAAAGAGTCAGTTTGTAACACACTATCTTGGTAGCTGGTGACTCAGTCCTTAGGCATGTAGAACCCTCATACTGACCACATGGTGACTTGCCTGCTTGGTGTGAAGGCAGCAGACATTACATGTGAACATAAGAACATAAGAGACGCCAATGTTGGATCAGGCCAAAGGCCCATCCAGTCCAACACTCTGTCACACAGTGGCCAGAAATACCAGGTGCCACCAGGAGGTCCAGCAGTGGGGCCAAATCTGGTATACAGTGCTGGGGAGGAGCCAGTGGTCATGGTACATTGATACCAATGATGTGGGGAAATGTAGTTGTGTGGTTCTGGAGGAAAAATTGAGGCTGCTAGGCAGGAGACTCAAGGCCAGGACCTCCAAGGTAGCCTTCTCAGAAGTGCTACCTGTTTAATGCACAGGGCCATCTACGCAGGCACAAATTAGGAGTCTCAATGTGTGGATGAGACAATGACATAGGGAGGAAGGGTTTATATTTGTTAGGCACTGGGATGCTTTTTGGAACAAGCAGGACCTGTGCAGAAGAGATGGTCTCCACTTGTCCCGTGAAGGAACCAGGCCGCTGGCGCTTAAAATCAAAAAGGTGGCAGAGCAGTTTTTAAACTGAAAATTGGGGGAAAGCCGACAGGAGATGAAAAGTCTCTTGTTTGGGATGGCTCATCTCAAAGAGATGAAGGGGTAGCTGTTACTATTCTACGGGGAAATGGATTAGGGGAGGTCACTGAGAGGGTGACCAACAATATTGACTGCCTGACAAGGTCTAGAGGCCATAGGAGGAGGGTTGCAGGCCTAACATGTCTGGGATCCAGGGATAATCGCCACCATCTTGGATGCACTGTTTTAAAAGGGGCGCCGGGGGAAGGCAGGCAGTTGGAGAGTGGCTATTCCTCCAGGGGCATACAAGGCAATCAACTGTCCCTGTGGTGACTTGTGGGCACTGAATGAAATTGCTGAGCAGCTGGGTTAGAACGGATAAAAGGAAGTCCTTCTTCACCCAAAGAGTGATTGACACGTGGAACTCACTGCCACAGGAGGGGGTGGCGGCTACAAGCATGGACGGCGTCAAGAGGGAATTAGATAAACCTATGGAGCAGAGGTCCATCAGTGGCTATTAGCCACAAGACAGAGTGTTGGAATGGATGGGCCATTGGCCTGACCCAACATTGACTTCTCTTATGTTCTTCTATGGAGCAGACGTCCATCAGTGGCTATTAGCCACAAGGTATGGATAAGAACTCTCAGGCTGGGGCAAGGGATGCTCTGTATTCTTGGTGCTTGGGGGGGCAAGAGTGGGGGGTCTTCTAGTGTCCTGGCCCCACTGCTGGACCTCCTGATGGCACCAGGCCTGCCTCAAGTATGATGGTCCCCTCCTATCCAGCCTCCACCATGTTTGACATGCAGAAGGTCCCAGGTTCAATCCCCAGCATCTCCAGTTAAAAGGAGCAGGCAGTAGGTGATGTGAAAGACCTCCACCTGAGACCCTGGAGAGCTATAAAGAGGGGTAATGGCTCAGTGGCAGAGCCTCTGCTTGGCATGCAGAAGGTCCCAGGTTCAATCCCCGGCATCTCCAGTTAAAAAGGACCAGGCTGTAGGTGATGTGAAAGACCTCCGCCTGAGACCCTGGAGAGTTGTCAAGAGGGGCTGTGGCTCAGTGGCAGAGCCTCTGCTTGGCATGCAGAAGGTCCCAGGTTCAATCCCCAGCATCTCCAGCTAAAAGGATCAGGCAGTAGGTGATGTGAAAGACCTCCACCTGAGACCCTGGAGAGCTGCTTCCAGTCCTGAGTAGGCGATACTGGCCTTGATGGACCAAGAGTCTGATTCAGTAGAAGGCAGTTTCACGTTGGCTAATACTATTACTTGTATGTGTTGTTAAATGTTGTTCCTGGCACTGAAGCCCTTTGCTATCAAGAAGCAAGTCATATATCTTCTACGCCCAGTTTTGTTTGTTTTTTTGGAATAAGAGGTGCCAGAACTCCCAAGAGGGAAATGAAGTTTTCAATCTGTATAGTGAAAACTCATGAACTTTTAAACATTTCAAAAAGGATTTTGTCGAAGAGGTTCCGGACCTCCGTTCTGGTGCATCCCCCCAGAGAAAAAGCCCTGTCTACACCCATCAATCCATCATGGCAAGATCTGCAAAACTGAGCAGAGAGGATAGTGACCAGAAGATGACTTACGCAGCATGTCAGTACGGCAGGCTTTGGCATTTCCGTCACAGTCCGTCTCTCTTTGGCATTTGGCGTTGCTGACCTGCAGTGTACACGTGTAGCACTTCAGTGAACCAGCTGAAAGAGAAGAAAGCAGGTTAAGGAACACGACGAGTGATGGAAATGTGGAATTCGGTGCCGGAGGATGTAGGGATGGTCACAGGCACAGATGGCTTTAAAGGAGGATTAGGCAGGTGCATGGAGGAGAGGTCCAACAGGGAGCTGTGACTCTCCAAGGCCATGTCCCGAAAATCTGGTTGGTCTCTGAGGTGCTACTGAACTCCTATCTAACTGCTCTGTTGCAGATCATAGAATCATAGAACCATAGAATGTCAGAGTTGGAAGGGACCTTGCAGGTGATCTAGTCCAACCCCCTGCACTCTGCAGGAGCAGAGCTGAAAGACAGCCCTACAACATACCCGAAAGATGGTCGTCCAGCCTCCGCTTGAAAACGTCCAGCGAAGGAGCACCCACCACCTCCTGAGTCAGACTGTTCCACTGCTCAACCACTCTGACAGTTAGGAAGTCTCTCCTGATATTTAGCCGGTAACGACTCCCTTGTCATTTCCAACCAATACATCTAGTCTTGCAATCCGGAGGGAGAGAGAACAGATCTGCTCCATCTTCTACATGACAGCCCTTCAGATACCTGAAGACTGCAATCACATGTCCCCTCTAAGCCTTCTCTTTCCCAGGCTAAACATACCCAGCTCTTTCAGCCTTTCCTCATAAGACTTGGATTCCAACCCTCTCACCATCCTGGTTGCCCTCTTCTGGACACACTCGAGCTTCTCAACATCCTTCCTACAATGCGATGCCCAAAACTGAGGCCTAACCATAGCAGAATAGAGCGGAACCACCACCTCCCGTGATCTGGACACAATGCTTCTGTTGATGCATCCTAAGATTGCATTAGCTTTCTTCGCAGCCACATCGCACTGCAGGCTCATGTTTAGCTTGTGATCAACCAGAACACCCAGATCCCTTTCACATGTGCTGCTGTCAAGCCAAGTCCCTCCCATTCTATATCTGTGCCTTTGATTTTTTGTACCTAAGTGTAGGACTCTGCACTTCTCTCTATTGAAATTCATTTTATTTGTCTCTGCCCACTGTTCCAGCCTATCTAGATAATTTTGAATCCTGACTCTGTCTTCTTCAGAATTAGCAATCCCACCTAGCTTCGTGTCATCTGCGAATTTGATAAGCATCCCCTCTATGTCTTCCTCCAGGTCATTTATAAAAACATTGAACAACACCGGGCCTAGGACTGAGCCCTGCGGCACTACACTCGAGAGTCCACTCGCAGAGCCATTTACGAGCACTCGTTGGGTACGATTTTTCAACCAACCATGAATCCATCCAACAGTTGCACCATCCAGTCCAC